CGGAGCTTCAAACACTGTGGCACATCCGGGAGGGGGAGAAGTACCTGGACGCTTTGTTTCAGGAGGCAGTCACACCTGGTAGATTAAGTAGTTCAAAATTGGTCAGTGGCCAGGGACAGCAGGATGTGACTGAAAGCAAGGCAGGTAGAGGGATCCTGCAGTCAGGAACAGAGGAGCCTCAGCTCTTGACCTTGTCCAACAGGTATGAGGTACTTACTCCCTGTGTGGATGAGGATAACGGCTGCAGGGAGGATGAGCCAACTGACCACTGCACTGTGGTACAGGAGGCCATTCAAGAGGGGGGAGCAAAAAGACAAGTGGTAGTTGTAGGGGAGTCTATAATTATGGGGATAGATAGTATCCTTTGTAAGCAGGATCAAGAGTCCCGTATGGTGTGTTGCCTGCCCAGTACCAGGGTAAAGGACATCTCTGACCGGCTTGAAAGGATATTGGAGCGGGAGGGGGACGATCCAGTAATTGTGGTCCACGTCGGAACAAACAACATAGGCAAGACTAGGAAAGAGGACCTGTTCAAAGATTATCAGGAGCTAGGAACCAAATGAAAGGACAGGTCGTCAAGGGTTATAATCTCCGGATTACTGCCTGAGCCACATGCTAATTGGCATAGGGACATGAGAATAAGGGAAGTAAACACGTGGCTAAAAGAGTGGTGTGGGAAAGAGGGGTTCCTTTTCATGGGGCACTGGCATAAGTATTGAAACAGAAGGGATCTGTACCGTTGGGATGGTCTCCACCTGAATCGAGCTGGGACCAATGTTCTAGCGAAAAGGGTAAATAGGCTGGTCAACAGGACTTTAAACTAGAAAGTGGAGGAGAAGGGAATGGTCAAACTTGCCCCGGTGGGAAACAAAGCAGCAGGTTAATATATGTAGGGGTGGATTCAACTATGAAAGAAATGACAGGGAAGGAGAACTCAGGAGAGGTTATTAAAGTCTCCAGCACAGACACAAATAGGACAGAGTGTTTGGAAAGGCCTAGCAATCAAACTTCAAGCACACTGGATAAACAAATGACTATGAGAAGAGGGACGGTTAATACAGGACTGAAGGTGTTATATCTGAATGCACGCAGTATAAGGAATAAGGTAAATGAGCTTGTGGTGCAGATCGAAATTGGCAGGTATAACGTGGTGGGCATCTTGGAGAAGTGGCTGCAAGGGGATCAGGATTGTGAACTGAATATCCAAGGATATACATCCTATCGAAAAGATAGGCATGTGGGCCGAGGGGTTGGGGTTGCCTTATTAGTAAGAAATGAAATTAAATCAATAGGAAGAAACGAAGTAGGGTCAGATGGTATAGAATCTGTGTGGGTAGAATTGAGGAACCTCAAAGGTAAAAAAAACCATAGTTGGAGCTGTGTACAGGCCTCCAAACAGTAGTCAGAAGCTGGGGCGTGCAAGATACACCAGGAGATAGAAAAGGTGTGTAAGAAAGGCAAAGTCACAGTGATCATGGGGTATTTCAATATGCAGGTGGACTGGGAAAATCATGTTGGTATTGGATTGCAAGAAAAGGAGTTTGTGGAATGTCTACGAGATGGCTTTTTGGAACAGCTCGTGGTGGAGCCCACAAGGGAACAGGCAATACTGGAGTTAATGTTGTGCAATGAGGCAGACTTGGTAAGGGAGCTTAAGGTAAAGGAACTCTTGGAAGGAAGTGATCATAATATGATAGAATTTACTGTGCAATTTGAGAGGGAGAAGATAGAATCAGAGGTAACGGTATTACAGCTGAATAAAAGGCGACTACAGAGGTATGAGGGAGGAGCGGGGCAGAATTGACTGGAACAGGAGCCTAGCAGGAAAGACAGTGGAACAGCAATGGCAGGAGTTTCTGGGAGTAATTCAGGAGACACCGCAAAAATTCATCTCTCGGAAAAAGAAGCATGGTACAGGGAGGATGAGGCAACCATGGCTGACTAAGGAAGTCAGGGATAGCATAAGAGCAAAAGAGAAAGCATATAATGTGGCGAAGGGCAGTGGGAAACCAGAGGTCTGGGAAGCTTACAAAGACCAACAGAGGGCAACAAAAAATGAAATAAGGAGGGAGAAGATTAAATATGAGGGTAAGCTAGCCAGTAATGTAAATGAAGACTATAAGAGCTTCTATAGATATATAAAGGGCAAAAGAGAGGCAAAAGTGGACATTGGACCACTGGAAAATGACCCTGGAGAGATAGTAGTGGGGAACAAGGAAATGACTGAGGAACTGAATAATTACTTCGCGTCAGTCTTCACGGTGGAAGACACGAGTAATCTCCCAAAAGTTCAAGAGAATCAGGGGGTAGAGCTGAGTATGGTGGCCATCACCAAGGAAAAGGTGGTAGTAAAACTAATTGGCCTGAAGGTGGATAAATCACCTGGACCAGATGGACTACACCCCAGAGTTCTAAAGGAGATAGCTGAAGAGGTAATGGAAGCATTAGTGGTGATCGTTCAAGAATCGCTCGAGTCAGGGAGGGTCCCAGAGGACTGGAAAATCACAAATATGACACCCCTGTTTCAAAAGGGAGTAAGGCAAAAGACTTAAAATTACAGACCGATTTAGCATAACCTCGGTTGTGGGTAAGATTTTGGAGTCCATTGTGAAGGATAAGATTTCTGAATATTTGGAAGTGTACGGTAAAATAGGGCAAAGTCAGCATGGTTTCATCAAGGGGAGGTCATGCCTGACAAATCTGCTAGAATTCTTTGAGGAAGTAACAAGCGGGGTAGAGCAAGGAGAGCCAATGGATGTTATCTACCTGGATTTCAAGAATGCCTTTGACAAGGTGCCGCACAGGAGGCTGCTGAATAAGATAAGGGCCCATGGTGTTAGAGGCAAGGTGCTAGCACGGATAGAAGATTGGCTGTCTGGCAGAAAGCAGAGAGTGGGGATAAAGGGTCTTTCTCAGGATGGCAGCCGGTGTCAAGTGGTGTTCCGCAAGGGTCAGTGTTAGGACCACAACTTTTCACTTTATACATTAATGATCTTGATGTAGGAACTGTGGGCATTCTGGCTAAGTTTGCAGATGATGCAAAGATAGGTGGAGGGACAGGTAGTATTGAGGAGGCGGAGAGGCTGCAGAAGGATTTGGACAGGTTAGGAGAGTGGGCAAAGAAGTGGTAGCTGGAGTACAACTTGGGTAAGTGTGAGGTCATGCACTTTGGTAAGAAGAACAAAAGCATGGACTATTTTCTAAATGGGGAGAAAATTCAGAAGTCTGAAGTGCAAAGAGGCTTGGGAGTTCTAGTCCAGGATTCTCTCAAGGTAAACTTGCAGGTTGAGTCAGTAGTCAGGAAGGCAAATGCAATGTTGGCATTTATTTTGAGATAACTTTAATATAAAAGCAGGAGTGTACGACTGAGTCTTTATAAGGCCCTGGTCAGGCCACATTTGGAGTATTGTGTACAGTTTTGGGCCCCATATCTCAGGAAGGATGTACTGGCCCTGGAGCGGGTTCAGAGGAGGGTGACGAGAATGGCCCAGGAATGGAAAGCTTAACATATGAGGAACGTTTGAGGACTCTGGGACTATACTCAATTGGAGTTTAGAAGGATGATGGAGGATCTAATTGAAACTTACAGAATACTGAATGGCCTGGACAGAGTGGATGTTGGGAAGATGCTTCCATCGGTAGGAGAGACTAGGACTCAAGGGCACAGCCTTAGAGTAAAGGGAAGACCTTTTAGAACAGAGATAAGGAGAAACTTCTTCAGCCAGAGAGTAATGAATCTGTGGAATTCACTGCCGCAGAAGGTTGTGGAGGCCAGGTCATTGAGTACATTTAAGACTGAGATAGATAGGTTCTTGATTATCAAGGGGATCAAGGGTTACGGGGAGAATGGGTTGAGGAACTTATCAGCCATGATTGAATGGTGGAGCAGCCTTGATGGGCCGAATGGCCTAATTTCTGCTCCTATGTCCTATGGTCTTATGGCCTAGCCAGAGATGCCTACATTCTGTGATTGAATAAAAATAAATAGAAGTAATCTCCTGACCATACTCCAGATGCTTTCTAATTTACAACTATTTAAAGATGCACCCTACCAGCATACTCTCATCAAGTTCACTTTTTTTTAAATTTCAAAAATATAATTTATTCATAAAAATATCTTTAGACGTATATATTTAATCACAAATGCAGTTCAGTTCTGTATAGTAGCATATCAAGGAAACAAACCCTCATCAAATTCCCCACTGTCCACTTGTGCTGCTTTATACTGAGTTCACCACTTTACTCATGAGTTGCTTTATACGGAGTTCCTCCCGATCTGCTTCACAGCAATGCTGACTGCTGCACAGTCTTCCCAGTGCCAGTAATTCCTCAGAGATGATGGGGTCTGGAATGCATTTCCTGAACAAGTTGTGAAGTTGCATTCAAAAGAGAATTGGAATAAAGTTGTTTAGAAAACAGTTTGAAAAGCTGGGATATGCATAATGTGTCAAATTGTTTCCCATGCTGCATAGTCTGTCACAATTAAAAACAACATTTTGTCTATGCCCTCTTTACATTGTTAAATCATGCCCTCCTCTCTCCAGTGGATAGAGCTTTTGATGGTTAATCCCATCCCAATTACAAAAATCTATGTAACAAGTGTAAAAATTAAACGGCAGTTAACTGATTTTAATTTCCACGCGATATTAAAGCGTTAGTTAGATAGCAATGCTATTGATTTCTTTTTAATTTATCTGTATTAACTGTCCAGTAAGTTTTTTCTATTACAACCAGTTTCTCCATTATTTGATATAAACAGAACCTATATTTAACAACACTATGTGAGCTTTGTTGCTCAAGTAATTGGGGTGGACAGACTGTATATTTATATATTATATGTACGGAAGAATATTGATATGCATTGCACGAGTTGCTGGTTTACAGTAAAGTGACAATAAAACGCTACATCTCTGGTATTACCGAGGACAGTGCCCACTATTTAGACATTCCATGTATGTGTTTTACTGAGGGAAATGACAGTGTTGCTTTTCTGTGAATAGGGCGTCCATTGAGGAGAAATATGGGAAGGAATTGATGTCATTGTCAAAGAAAGTGTGTGGACAAAATGAACTGAAGTAAGTTCTTTATGTATTTTTTTTTGAGATTAATTTTTCAGTTTAAAGTTGTGGAGTGTTTTCCACTGGAGATTAGAATAATGTTAACCACTTGCCAAAATGTCTCTCAAACATCTCTCCTCCCTGCACCCCTGCCTCACTGCCCCACTGCCCCACTAGACGATGGTTGTTATGAACAGGTGATCAAACAATATTTGTGGTGACCCCATCTATAATGGGTAAAAGCTGAAAAAAAAACGATGAAGAAAAGAAGGGTAGTAGTGTTATATCTGGATATGTTAATGATTTGGATGAGGGAAGCAAATGTACTATAAGCAAGTTTGTGGATGAAACAAAAATAGGTGGGAAGGCAAGTGGTGAGGATGACACCAAGGGTGGATTCTTGTAGAGGTTTCAGCATGGTGGGCTATGGCGAATTGGACGAGAAATTCAGTAAGGCCCACTTCTATCGGGAGCATCTTGTGCCGTTCTTTTGAGGAGCAGTGTGATAGGAACTCACTAGACAGTGGGGAGTTGCCGACTAAGGGAGATTAAAGCTTGCTAAATGCTTTACTAATGGCATAATTTGCCTCATTAATGTTCAGATCTCTATTTTACCAAATGCACCAAACAAATTAGACGTTGAGAAATCTCGGGCAGGTCCCTGGTGACTTCAGCTCATCACTTGCTGCAAAGGTCCTCCATTTGGACATGGGGTACCAACATCTTGGCTGTATTTCACAGATAGTGGCATTCAACATGTACCAGCCTCTAAGAACCCTCATGGCACATCAGCGTTCCACTGACAGTAACCTACTGCACCTCAGGCTGCTGCAGTAACAATTACTGTAATGGACACTCTGTGCTCAGGGACGTGCACCCAGCTAATGGCCTGGACCAGGCTGTATCTCTAGGTTCTTCGATCACTAACATAGTGCTCACATACTCTCAGCTTACCTGAATACTCACAGTACCCCTGCCTTGTATTGCCTTGCTTTTCCTTTTTGCACTTTGCCGCCTGAGCTGGAGACACCTGGCTCATATTACTTCTGTCTTGCCTTGTCATTTAGCACAGATACCGAGGTAAGAAACTTTGTTACGATTGTAACTAGGTATCTGTGAAATCAAAAGGGAATAGTGTTGCCAGGGATTAACAGTAAATCGAGGGCAACCTCTGGTACCAGTCCGGGGGCTTGGTCTGAGGCAGACAGAGACAGGATGCTGTCCCCATAAGGAGTGAGGAGCTGAATGATGGGCAGCCCACCACCTGCCTTGATTCTTTCTACCCTATTGTGAGCAGTTTTCTTTCTGGAATGAGATGGGGACAAGTATTACAGGAGATTACAGTGCTTAACTGTTGGTTACTGTTGGGGCAGGTGAAGAGGTTTCCCAAGCGAGTGAGTAGTCCACTGAGAGGACATGGAGTGGTTTTGAGGTTGAATTGGGTTGGAGCAAGTGAGGGAAGATGTTACACACAATAGTGAGAATGGTAGAACAAGAGCCCTGGTGGGAAGGGAGTGCAATAGCAGAGATAGAGTGAATGTGAGGTATCAGAGAGAAAATTGTGGCACTTATACTGGCAGAGCGGAGAAAGTCATTGGCCTTCTCCTAGGCATTCACCCAGACGGCTGATACTGCACTGACTCAGGTGTCATCCTCAAACCAAGCTGGTATGGTCTGGTGCCATGGCCTCCACTGCTGGTTCTGACGGAAGAGGAAGTTCTGTGTTTGCACTACCCTGGCCAGTAGGACTTCCATGCCTCTACCTGCTAAGCAGGGGCTCCAATTTCCTCCTTCTGCCAGGTTCTCTGCAGCAAAGACAAGCCTAGAAGGCTGTAATACCTACCTCGTGCCAAGGTTGATGACATCACTTCTGGGCTGGAGAGGAACTTGGAGTGAAACAGGAAAAATATGATTGTAGTACTCCACCTGGGTACCAACACATGTCAGAGTAATAAAACAGTAAAGGTGCCCCAGCCATGGCTAACCAGGGAAATTAGGGATAGTATTAGATCTAAGAAGGGGCATAAATATTAACCAAAAAACAGCAGACTCAAGGAGTGAAAGCAGTTTAAAATTCAGCAAAGAAGAACAAAGGGATTGATTAAGAAAGGGAAAATACAATACGAAAGTAAGGTTGTGAGGAAGATACAAACAGATTATAAGCACTTCTATTGGCATGTGAAGAGAAAAGATTTAGTTAAGACAAATGTAGGTCCCTTACAATTACTAGAAGTAGTTATAATGAGGAACATAGAAATGGCACACCAATTAAATACATAGTTTTGTTCTGTTTTTATAAAGGAGGACACAAAAAACCTTCAGGATATAGTGAGTATGAGGAACTGAAGGAAATCAGTATTAGTAGAAAAACTGGGGAAATAGCTAGTTATGAGGACCTACATTCCAGAGTACTCATGGAAGTTACACTAATGGATGTATTGGTGGTCACCTTCTAAGGTTCTCTAGACTCTGGAACAGTTCCTGCAGCTTGGAGCATAGCTAATGTAACTCCTCAAAAAAGGAGGTAACATAATATACTGACATAAATAGAGAACTGGTTGGCAAGCAGGAAACTGGTCTCCCCGCTATAGGATGGATGTTGCGAAACTTGAAAGGGTTCAGAAAAGATTTACAGGCATGTTGTTAGAGTTGGAGGGGTTGAGCTGTACGGAGAGGCTCAATAGACTGGGGTTATTTTCCCTGGAGCATCGGAGAATGAGGGGTGCCCTGGTAGAAGTTTTTAAAATCATGACTAGCATGGATAGAATGACAAGGACTTTTCCCCAGCGTGGGGGAGTCCAAAACTAGAGGACATGGGTTTGAAGTGAGAGGGGAAAGATTTGAAAGGACCTAAGGAGCAGCTTTTTCACACAGAAGGTGGTGCATGTATGGAAGTGGTGGAGACTGGTACAATTACAACATTTAAAAGGCAACTGAATGAGTATGTGAATGGGAAGGGTTTAGAGGGATATGGGCCGAATGCTGACAAATGGGACAAGATTAATTTAGGATATCTGGTCAGCTTGGACGAGGTGGACCAAAGGGTCTATTTCCATGCTGTACAGTTGTATGACTGTACAAGTGTTGGAATAAATGGGTCATTTTCTGAGTGGTACGCAGGGTCTAGCGGACTACCACAATGATTGGTGCTTGGACTCCGTATGTTCAAAAATATATACTAATGGTTTAGATGATGGAACTGAATGTATTCTTTCCAAGTTTACAGCTGATGCAAAGCTGTCTGGGTGGGTGAACTGTAACAAGGATGCAGAGATGCTTCAATGTGATATTGGCACATTGGAGAGTGAGCAAATGCATGGCAACTAAATGTGAGTTTATCCACTCTGGTAGCCAAAACAGGAAGATGAATTATTATCTTAATGATGAAATTTTCAGAAATGGGAGGTGCAACAGCAACCACTTATGGAAGCTGAGGAAGGGTCAATAGACCTGAAACATTAACGTTGATTTCTGTCCACGGATTCTGCCTGACCTGCTAAGCTTTTCCAGCAATTTTTATTTTTGTTAGGGGAGCTAAATATTATTTAAATTGGGAAAAATTGCAGAAAGCTACAGGGAGTCTTTGTGGATGAATCACAAAAAGCTATCATTCAGGCAAGAAGAGAAGGTAAATTGAATGTTGACCCTTATTTCAAAAGGAACAGAGTATAAAAAGAGGGAAGTATTACTAAAACTACACATAGCACTAGTTGGATCACACTTAGAATACTGTGAAAAGTGTTGGTCCCTTTTGTCTAAATAAAGATATTTTGGCATTGGAGGCAGTCCACAGAAGGTTCTCTAGGTTGATCCTGGATATGGAGGGAATGTTTTGTGACGAGAGTAAGTTTCTGAGTTTGAGGAAGTTGAGTATGTACTCATTGGCATTTAGAAGGGAGAGGTGACCTTATTGAAACATACAAGATTCTTTGGGGCTTGACATGGTAGATGCTGAAAGATTGTTTCCCCTGGTGGGAGAGCATAGCACCCAGAGGGTGTAATCCTAGAGTAAGGAGTCACCCTGTTAGGACAGAGATGAGGAGGAATTTCTTCTTAGAAGATGGTGAAACTGTGGAATTCTTTACCACAGAGAGCTGTGAAGGCTGTGTGGACAGATTTGTAATCAGTCAGTGATTCAAGGCCTGCGGAGAAAAGTCGGGAAAGTGGAGTTAATTATTGGCTTGGCCATGATCTCACTGAATAGCAAAGCAGACTTATACGCTGAATTTCTGCACCAATACGTTATGCTCTTACATGATTAGACTTCGGTTTGACCTTGGACTCATCTCCAATTAAGATCCAGTAACAGATATACCACATAGTAGCTGCAATTCATAGCCGCCTCTATGCTATTGAGTACCTCCCGTTTATTTCAGTTAATAGTTTCCTGCACATCGAGGTCAGATTGAAGTACTTATCACATTTTATATCTTCTCTTACTTTGCTTTTGTTCTTAGCATGTTGACAGTTGCAGATTTGTGACTGCTAAGAAAAGATTGTAATTTAGTTAATTTATGGGTGATTGTACAACTGAGTAGCCTGCTCAGACTTCAGAGGGCACGCGGTGTCAACCACATCATACGAACCGAGTTTGTGTAGGTGACACCATGGGTAAGTGCAGCCTCAAACTTTACCTGGTGAATATAATGACAATCTGACAAGCTTCTGGTGTAGCTTCTTGCTTAAGATGTTTTCCTGTTCACAGATGTTATTACACACGACTGGAGCACATGGGAGCTGAACCTGGGACCCCCGGGTCAGAAACAAGGACACTGCTCTTACACTGCAAGAACCAAACTTCATGCTTTCTTGCTTCTCTTGGTTATTGATATTAATCACCAATTAACTAGACCAGTAATTCAAAGGTCATGAGTTTGAATTGGTGGTTGTGAAACTCAAACTTCATAAGAATAGTAATCTGTGCAATTGAAGATGGTTGTGCATATTAAGCAGATTCAGTTCCCTAATAAAAACCGTAGATTTTCGGCTACATCTGTGGAGAGATAGAGTTAATATTTCAAGCTTGATTTGACTTCTTCAAACTAAACGGAGTGTCTCCAGCACTTTGTTTTTATTTCCAATCTCTAACATCCACTATATTTTTTGCATTTTAGTGGTTCCCTGTTTTGTTGTTGGCCACACCCTCTGGCTTACATTGGACCAACTGCGCATTACTTAGTTGACTTTTTGATATTTTCTGAAGTGGTTCTGCCTGCCACTATCTAAGCCCTGTTAACATATGGGGAATACATTCTAAACTAAAGATACAATCTGAAGTATACAGCTACTTTAAATGGAAAAAGGCTGAAAGCATTTTCAGGTCACTCCTACAATAGGGTACAACCATTAATAACCCTCACTCCTAGAAAAGAAACTTAATAATTAATTGGATGATAACATTGTACAGTTGGAAGAACAACATTTGAAACTTGTAAGCAATCCAGATTTAATCAAATATTTCAGTGATTACCAAAAACCCATCATAGCTTGTAATTCCAGTTGTTCACCTCAGTCTTCTCTTTTTTTACTCCCTGTCTAGTACATTGAAGAGAGCTTTTGACGTCTTCAAACAACGTAAGTATTTATCTTTTCTAGGATGTGAATGACAAGCCGGTGAGCTGGTCCAAATCTTCTGCTAATTATTTAATGTACTAGTGATTTAGATGGGATTTCTTTTAACACTGTAACATGTTGAGTAAATAGAAAAAGATGGAGGGTTCTTGAGGTGAAGAGGGTGTAATCAGTGGATGGGAATAGAATCACAGAATTGTTATGGAGCTGAAGGGGACCATTCAGCCTGTATGAGATTGAAAAGAAATGGTTTAGGGCAGAGAACAGGAAGAACTTTTTGACAAATAGGCATCTGCATCACTAAAGAGAGGACTGGGACTGAATGCCCTACCTCCCATTATGCCCCAGCTCTGTCCCAAATCTGGACCACTTTTGTAGTAGTGAGATCTGGTGTGTCTGGGCTACCCACCTACACGTGGCACCTAAGATATCAGTCCAGATTAAGTCCAGTTGAAATATTCCAGCACTGGCAGGATCCAGTTTAGATGCCAAAAGGTGGGGACCCATCAGTAAGGGGCTAATGCTTCCGTCAGGCCTAGAGACCCTTCCTGGGTGTAGTAGCAGTTACATGCTGCCCTGCACTGCACTGCATTGCCTCCCCATCCCTGTGCTTGATGGCTGAATCCAACTTCAAGGCCTCACCCTCTATTCTTTGTTGGATGAAGAATGTGTCTCCCACTCGTTAACGGGGTGCAGGTACATTCCACAGGGAAACACAGCCAACTTGTGTTTGCTGGCATTGGAAGCGAAATACAATGTGGAGGGTTGAGAATAGTGGAATATACTGCCATTGGTTTTGAAGCAGACTTTGTCAATGTCTAATCAATGTTTAAAAATTGGGAATTTCCGGGAATACATTCAATCCAAGTTGGCAAGCCAACAAACATGTTAGTAATAGTGTTGTGTGGAGAAGGAACACCAACATCATTGAGTTGGTCAAAATAACCCACATCTGTTTTGCAGTTTCAGTGGGACTCTCTCACTCTGCATCTGTAGCTCCTTACATTATTTTACAACCCTTCTCAACAAGCAGAGCCACTCATAGAAGCACAAGTATCCCCTGAAAGTGACAGCTTTTGGGGGTTTTTTCTTGTTTGTCTGAGCAACTGAGGAATGCCACTCTCATGAATTTACTCCTGAATTGTGCCATTGGAAGCTCTGCACCAAAGACAAAGCACTTTCACAAATTGGACACTGTAAATGGGACGGCCACAAGTGTTGGCATGGCACTCAAATTCCAAGGGATGGGGACGATTTCACACTGAGGGGAGGTCATGGTATGATAAAAAGATGGGTGGGTATACAAATATTGTGCAGCACCTTCACCATGGACACTAAAATATCACTGTCCAGGGCTAAGGGAAATTTGGTCTTCCTGCAAAAGAGTCTGACAAAGTGTGCCGACCATCTGGTGAGTGCTGACCAATATTAATGCAGCTCTTAGACAGGCGATTAAAAATGTGGAGAAAGTTAATTTCAGAATGCCTGGTTTGGAGCTTACCGTTGCAGGAGATGTGTTGTAACTTTTTTTTAATAGAACAGGGAGATTGTACTTCCATATGGATGAATGGTGATGATGGAGGAATATAATACAGTCAACTGTATGATATACTGAAGACAATACCTGCCATTATTCAATACCTGAATATTATTCTTCTGGTTTTATACGATTTAGTATCTTTGGGTCCCAATGCATGGAACTCGTGGCAATACTGAGATCAATTTGCTCTATCTTAAGGTCGTCTGCTCGTAAGATCTGGCTTTTGTTTTAACTGCTTCCTAGCTCTGGATGAGGTGTTGTGGGCCAACGGAAAATGAGAGTCATTGGAAAGCCGAAGTAAGATTTAGAAAAACACAACAGGACAACAAAGAGTAAAGTCAAGTTCTAATGGGTTGCCTGGAAACTCGGTCACTGAAATGCTAAGTTGTCTATCTCCCCAATGTTTACTAGGTAGTCACAGGATCAGCTTAAGTGACATGTCCATCACATCACCACATCTTCTGTTATCTCCCAACCACATTTATTTACAGACCCAGCCACAAGAACATTATGAGCTATGGATCACAACTCTGGTCAAAAGTGGCGTCCCCATCAGCATAGAGCGTGGGACCGGAACCAGCAAGTTACCTCAGCTTTGTTAACACCATCTTGAGGTTGTAGACTTGCTCACTGAGCCGGTGTGTTGGTTGCAGACATTTTGCCACCCTGCTAGGTAACATTGTCAGTGCGTTTCCGGTGAAGCGTTAGTGTTCTGTCCCGCTTGTTATTTATATGCCTCGGTTTGCTGGGGTGGTTCAGCAAACAGAGGCATATAAATAACAAGCGGGACAGAACACCAATGCTTCACCGAAGGTGCACTGATGATGTTACCTGGCAGGGTGATGAAAGGTCTGCAACCAACACACCGGCTCAGTGAGCAAGTCTACAACCTCATCCACAGCCCAAGCAAGAAATCTTCTCAAAATCTTTAACACCATCCTCCTCATCTGCATTCTATCTGTAGCGAGACTCGCAATTTACACACGCTTATTCAGAGGCTGGTATCCTGCCACCAAGCCACCCTCTATTTACACCTGGGGAATCTTTGACACTGATCCAGCTCCCTCAGAGCTGTCTGACACTCCTGTTCTCATCTGTCACCCAGGGCTCCTTGATTGGACCAGATTAACAGCCCCACTCATGGAACTCATATTCTTTGAGGTCCATCTGGCTGACTTTGTTACAATCACGACATCCCTGCCCCTCTGAGTCCGAGGACATAGGCCAGTTCTCTTTTATTTTGTAGCTCCTCCTGGGGCATTTTAGCATTGGGTCATGTTCCTCCCACTCTGCTTCTCATACAGGCGGTGTGTAACGTACAGTAGTTTGCCTCTTGTGTCCGGAGTGTTTCTGAAGAAATTCATTCTCTTCTTCAGGCAGCAGAGGTGTCAAGGCATTGATATCTGTCATGCCTGTCTCAGATTCCGAGGTATCTTCAACGCTTGATGGAAAGGGAGAACCCACGGGTTCCAGAATATGTGGTCCAAGTGCTTGTTCAGAACTGTCGCATCTACCCAAACTTCATACGTCACTGGACCTGACCTTGCATCAACCATGTCTTTTACCCATGCAGGGGCCATTCCTGTGGTTCCTACACCAAACTTCATCCCCTGAAGTAAACTGTCTCTCTCACTTAGCAAAGTCTAATGTCCAGCATTAGCATACCTGATTCCGTTCCACCCTCACCCTCCAAGGTTGGGGAAGACCAGATTTAACCTGGTCTGGAGTCTTCTCCCCATTAGCAACTCTGGTGCTATCCCTGTAGTTGCATGAGGGGTGGTCCTATAATCAAACAGGAACTGGGACTGTTTGGTATCTAGTGAAGCTGTAGGCTGCTTCTTTAAGCCTGCCTTCAAACTTTGGACTGCTCTTTCTGCCAGACCATTGGATGATGAATGATATGGAGCTGTTCTGATATGTTGAATACCATTCAACTTTAGGAAATACTGACATTCCCTGCTGGTAAACTATGGTCTGTAATCTGTGACCAACAATTCTGGAGTTCATGTATCGCAAAAGATGCGTGCAGTTTTTCTATCGTTATCCCCATGTTTGATGAATGAACTCTAGGCATGTCAAGCCACTTTGAGGGGGTGTCCACAATGACTAAGAACGTTGAGTCCATGAAAGGATCATAGTCCACATGTAACTGAGGCTATTCCCACAAATGCGGGGGAATCTGCTGGCAGTAATATTTGTCCTAGTTGGCACTCTGGGCACTGCCCCACCCACGTGGCTATGTCTGCATCCAATCCTGGCTACCAGACATAAAATGTCAGCAAGAAGTTTATTTTGGAGACCCCTGGTCCTGGGGACTTGTCTATTTTAATGCAATTTAGGATTCCCAAAACTTCCTTTTTCAATATTTTGACATTCTCTAGAGTATTCCCACACTCATCCCTGACCTCAGCATTGGTCATGTCCTTCTCCTTGGTGAAAACCGATACAAAGTACTTATTCCATCTCCCCCACTTCCTTAGGTACAACTTCCCTCCTTTGTCCCTGAGTGGGCCTACTCTTTCCCTTGTTACCTAACATATGCATAAAAAGCCTTGGGATTCTCCTTGACCCTGTTTGCTAAAGACATTTCATGGCCCCTTTTTGCCTTCATAATTGTGCATTTAAGTTCCTTCCTAATTTCTGTGTACTCCTCCAGGGCTTCGTCAGTTTGTAGCTGCCTAGACTTGTGATTTGCTTCCCTTTTTCCTTTGACTAAGTTTACAATTTCCCTTGTCATCCATGGTTCCTGAATCCTGCCATTCCTATTCTTTAGTTTTGCAGAGACGTGCATGTCCTGCACTTTAATCAACTGGTCTTTAAAAGCTTCTCACATGCCAGAGGTAGATTTACCCTCAAATAACTGCTCCCAATCCACATTCTCCAGTTCCTGTCTAATTTGGGTGTAATTGGCTCTTGCCCAATTAAGCACCCTCTCCCGAGGGCCACTTGTGTCTTTTTCCATGACTACTTGAAATCTTATGGAGTTATGGGCACTAAGCCTGGAATGCTCTCCTACTGAAACATCAATCACCTGTCCTGGCTCATTCCCTAGGACCAAGTCTAACATGGCAACCTCTCTGGCTGGATATGTCAACATACTGCCTCAAAAAGCCCTCCTGGACACAACTAACAAATTGCTCTCCATCCGAGCCCCTGGCTGTAAGGGATTCCCAGTCAATAAGAGGAAAGTTGAAGTAACCCACCATGACTACCCTGCTCTTTTCACAGTTTTCTAGTCACTGACTACATATCTGCTCCTCTGTCTCCCGTGGGCTGTCGGGAGGTCTATAGAAAACTCCCAACATTGTGATTTCACCTTTCCTATTCCTGAGCTCCACCCAAAATGTCTCACCGCAAGATCCCTCCGATGCGTCCTCCCTCAACACGGCTGCGATGTGATCCCTAGTCAGCAGTGCAACTTCCCCACCCCTTTTGTTTCCCTTTCTATCCCTTCGACAGTGATATCCAGGAATGTTAAGCTGCCAGTGCTGTCCCTCCTTTAACCAAGTCTCTGTCGTGGCAACGACATCATAATTCCATGCAGTAATCTTAGTTCATCTGACTTACCTGCTATACTTCTTGCATTGAAGTGAATGCATTCCAGTCCTCCAGTCCCTCTGAGCCCCGCGACTTCCCTGTGCCTGCTCTTACTCTGTGCTATGCATGTCTCTGTCACACTTTTGTCCCCAGTCCCTGCACTTACAGACCCATTGTTCTGGTTCCCAGCCCCCTGCCAAACTAGTTTAAACCCTCCTGGAGGGTATTGGTGGAACATCCTGACTCCACAAGTGGTCTCCAAGCCTCCAACACCTCCCAGTCGCGAACCACTTCAACTCCCCCTCCCACTCCTTGGGCAACATGTCCATGCTGGGCCTCCTCCAGTGCCACAATGATGCCACCCGAAGGCTGGAGGAACAGCACCTCATGTTCCGTTTGGGAACCCTGCAGCCCAATGGTCTTAATGTGAACTTCACAAGCTTCAAAATCTCACCTCCCCCGACCTCATCCCAAAACCAGCCCATCTTGTCTCCGCCTACATGACCTATCTGTCTTTTCTCCCACCTATCCGCTCCTCCCACCTCACTGACCACCCCCCACCCCCACTTCCTACCTACTAGCCTCATCCCCGCCTCCTTGACCTGTCCGTCTTCTCTCCTCCGATCTGCTCCTCTATCCATCTTCTATCATCGCCTCGCCCTCTCTCTATTTATTTCAGAGCCCCCTTCCCCTCCCCCATTTCTGAAGAAGGTTCCAGACCGGAAACATCAGCTTTCCTGCTCCTCTGATGCTGCCTGGCCTGCTGTGTTCATCCAGCTCTACACCTTGTTATTTCAGACTCCAGCATCAGCAGTTCCTACTATCTCATATTTATACTTTGCATTTGCCAAAGTCTTGGATGCAGATGCTATTTGGCATTCCTTTCCATTGGGCCACCTATGAGTTAGTACTACCCTGATGCTGTACAGGAAGACATCATGTGTCAATACCAGATCTCACTTGGGATCACAGTGTGCCAACATCTTAGAGGATGTTATCTGTTTCTTTACTTCCCTGAAAGTTATGTCTTAGCTATGTGACCATTTCTAAAGCTGATGCTTTTTTAAAAGAGTTGATGCAAAGATGCCAGGATGGAGGCCAGACTTTGTGTGAACTTTTTGTAATAATTCACCAGCACAAGAAAAGACCTCAGGTCCGGTACAGATGAGGGAGCTGGGGCACCTTTCATGAGCCTCACTTTATCTTCCAATGAGTGTAACCTGGTCTTGTCAACTTTATAGTCCAAGTAAGTCACTTGGGATGCCTTGACCACACACTTTTCCCTTTAAAGGTATACACCCGCCTGGGAGAAACGTATAATGATTACATCTAAGTTCTCTAAGTGCTCCTTATTGGTCTTCCTGGTTATTAGCTTGTCATCTAAATAGATGGGTTAGACCTTGTAAAATGTTCTCCACCATACACTGAAAAATTGCTCAAGCTGACGATACCCCACATGGCAGTCTTGTATATTGGTACAAACCCTTATGTGCATTAATTGTAGCATACTTCTGGGAATCCTCATCTAATCACAATTGCAAGTAAGTGTAGCTCATGTCCAGTTTCTTGAAGGACAACCGCCCTGCCAGCTTTGTGTATAAGTCCTCTATGTGAGAATTTGGGTATTTATCCAGCTGTGAAAAACGGTTTACCATTTGTTTAAAATCCCCACAAAGGTGAACCGACCCATCGGGCTTCACAATCAGTACGACCGGCGCTGCCCATTCTTGCAAACTTGACTGGTTTGATGATTCCTTCACTTTCCAGCTTTCTGACTTCTGCCTCTACTTTTGCCTGTAAGGTAAATGGCACTGGGCGGGCCGTGCAGAATCATGGAATTGCTTCCTGGTCAATGTGCAAGGTGGCCTTGGCTCCTTTGATATTCCCTAGACTTTTCTGAAAAACGTCTGGGTAATTAATTAGGACTTCACTCAGGCAGCCATTTTATAATCGAAAAATGTTGAGCCAGTTTGGTGAATCTTTTTCAACCAATTCTGTCCCATCAAGCTCGGGCCTGAGCCTTTTACTACAATCAGTGGTAACTGAACCAGCTGCTTCTCATGTGAGACTGGAACCGAAGTTGTGCCCTTAATCTGTAAAGGTTCCCTGGTGTAGATTCTCAGACTAGCTGAGGTCTTGTACAAACTTAAGGGTTGGAGTCCACAGTGAATTTTGTTAAAGACTGGTTCTGCAATCACTGAAATAGCCATGCTGGTATCGAACGCCATTAGAATTGAGTGACCATTTACCCAGATGTTTATCTTGTTTCTGATTTGGCTGTTGGTAAGCAATTTAACTGATCTAAACCAGATGTGGGTAGGCCTTCCAGGGTGTGCACTTTCCTGGATACCAGCCTATGAGTTCTCTTACTTAATTTGTCTTTTGATGTCTCGGATCCGCATACTTGCTGCAACTACAATGGCTTGTCGGACCGGATCCTGAAAAAAAATTTAACTGTTTGGCTGAGGCTTGGCTTTGTTTTGGGTTTTGCTTTGGGCTGACGTAGAGTCTGTCCGTTCAGGATATGTCCTGAGTGAGACTGTGCAACTGCTTTCACTCAAGTGATGTTCTCCAAGCTCAGTTGGACTGGTGATGGTGTCCAGTTCCAACAGAATACCCTGCAACTCATATGCTCCGCTTGCCACATTTTCCAATGGTAAAGCCAGTTGTAATGCCTGTTTGAAGTCCAGTTGGGCTTCAGCTAGTAGGCGCCTTTGCATGTTTACATCATTAATCCCACACATACCGAATGGCCTCTCAGCATCTCACTGAGGGTTAAACCAAAGTCACTTGCCTCTGCCAGTCATCTTAACCCAGTCAAAAATCCCGATATGGATTCCCTGGTTCTTGAACTGTCGAGTAAAACAATAGCGTCTCAGAATTAGAGGAGGCTTGAGGTTGTAAAATTCCTTAACTAAATCTGTTAACTCTTGAAAGGTTTTAGTATCTGGTGTCTCCAGTAAAGTTAGGTTCCTCATAACTGAAGAAGTTGCGGGTCCACAAGCTGTCAGGAGAATTACTTGTTGCTTTTCATCTGCCCCAATGTTATTTGCCCAGAAAAATAACACTTTTTTCCATAAACTGGGCCCGCTTTGACAACAGGATTGAATCAGTCAAGCTTTCTAAATAATGGCATGATGCCAGAAATGCATACCCCAATTCAAAGCCGCCTGTTGCGAGCAGGTTTCTTCAGGAGCTTGCTTTTCTCTCATTGCTAGTGAAATAACTCCACAGAGGACAGTATACCATCACCAAGTCACCCTTTATTTACACTTGGAGAGTCCTTGACACTGATCCAGCTGCCTCAGAGATGACTGACACTCCTGTTCTTATCTGTCAGCCCGGGCTCCTTGATTGGACCAGGTTAACAGCCCCAATCAGGGAACTCATATTCTATGAGGTCCACCTGGCTGACCTTGTTACAATCACTACATTAACTGTTCACAAAACATTAATGTACTAGCACCTTGCTGTCTGTCACAACATTTCATTTCTGCCTGATCCTCAACTAATAATAGCAGAAACACTGGTGAATGCTACACAACCCCGCTTGCCAGGATGAGTGCAGCCCCAACAACACTCAAGAAGCTTGACACCATCCAGGACAAAGCAGCCCGCTTGATTGGCACTACATCCACAAACATTCACTCCCTCAACCACCAACGCTCAGTAGCAGTAGCAGCAGTGTGTACTATCTACAAGAGGCACTGCAAAAATTTACCAAAGATCCTCAGACAGCGCCTTCCAAACCCACTACCACTTCCATCTAGAAGGACAAAGGCAGCAAATATATGGGAGCACCACCACCTCCAAATCACTCACCATCCTGACTTGGAAATATATCGCCATTCCTTCACTGTCGCTGGGTCAAAATCCTGGAATTCCCTCCCTAATAGCATTGTGGGTCAACCCACAGCAGGAGGACTGTAGCAGTTCAAGAAGGCAGCTCACCACCACCTTCTCAAGGGCAACTAGGGATGGACAAGAAATGCTGGCCAGCCAGTGATGCCCTCATCCTACAAATGAATAGAAAAAAATGCATTAATGTTATTATTATTATTAATGTTATGGGACTATTAATCATGCAATTGCTTCATTCCTTCCAGAGACGGAGAATGTGGGACTGTTGCACATCCAGCTGGCTGGCAGTTTACGGGAAGAGATTAAAAAATTGGAGGAATTCCGGGAAAAGCAAAAGGATCAAAGGAAAAAGGTGCTCTGTTTGTGCATTTTGTGTAAAATTATGATTATTGTTTAGATCATTCCCTTCTTTAATTTTTCCTTCTTATTTATCCTCTCTTCCAGAGGTAGTACAGAACTTAAACACTGCTAGAAAGAGACATGAAGTTAAAACTTTGCTTTGCACTCATCATGACTGAAATGCAAGCACACCAACTTCAGAAAAGAAATAACAATTTATACAGCATGACCAGAGAGTGTGTTTCAGTCCTGGTGAAATTGAGAAATAGCTAAGGCTGAAGCAGGAATTGGGAGTCAGGCAGAAGCTCTACTCCACTGCTATTAAACCAGAAATAAGAGAAACCTTTAGTACAAAAGGTGTTGATCCATAATGCCTGTGTGCTACTTTAAAGAGCTATCAGTTAGTCTCACTCCTGGTTTGCACATGCTGTTAGGGAGGTTTTAAACTAATTTGGCAGAGGGATGGGGAACAGAGTAGATGTAAAGTTGGGAGCAAGGTCCAATCAGATATAGGAGGAATGCTAGGACAGTCCACTAGGCGAAGAAGACATGGGCAGGATAAGACACATGGGAGGACTGGAATGCTAAATTGTGTCTTTTTTATTGCAAGGAGGTTGACTGGTGAGGTTGATGAACTTAGAGCGTTGATCAGTACGTGGGAATATAATTTTGTTGCAATCATTGAGACATGGTTGAAGGAAGGACGTGATTGGCATTCCAGGGCGTCGAAGATTCAGGTATATTGGGGGCGGGTGGAGGAATATACAAGAGCTGGAGGCATTGCGTTATTGATAAAGGAAACTGCGAGAAAGAGGGAGGTAAAGGAGCTGATATGTAAGCAAATATGTCACAACGAACCAACTGGAGAGCAGGCCATCCTAGACTGGGTATTGTGTAATGAGAGAAGATTAATTAGCAACCTTGTGGTGTGAGATCCTTTTGGGAAGAGTGACCATAATATGGTAGAATTATTCATTAAGATGGAGAGTGAAACAGTTAAATCTGAGACTGGGGTCCTGAACTTAAAGAACTTACATTGATGGTATGAGATGGTATTAGCTAGGATAAGCTGGCTAAGGATACTTGAGGGGTTAATGGTGCGTAGGCAATGGCAGATACTTAAAGAACACATGGATGAACTTAAACAATTGTACATCCTTGTCTGGCATAAAACAGGGAAGGTGGCTCAACCACAGCTAACAAGGGAAACCAGGGATAGTGTTAAAACTAAAGAGGAGGCATATAAATTGGCCAGAAACAGCAGCAAACTTGAGGGCGATATTTAAAATTCAGCAGAGGATGACAAAGGGTTTGATTCAGAAGGGGAAAATAAAATACGAGAGTAAGCTTGCAGAAAACATAAAAACTGACTGCAAAAGCTTCTACTGATATTTGAAAAGAAAAAAACTGGCAAAGACAAATGTAGGTCCCTTCCAGTTAGATCCAGGTGAATTCATAATAGACAACAAAGAGACGGCAGACCAGTTGAACAAATACTTTCAATCTGCGTTCACTGAGGAGGACACAAATAACCTTCTGGAAATGCTAGGGGACAAAGGATCAAGCATGAAGGAGGAGCTGAAGGAAATGGTATTGGGGAAATTGATGGGATTAAAACTCAATAAATCGACAAGGCCTGATGCTCTACATCCCAGAGTACTTAAGGAAGTGGCTTTGGAAATAGTGGATGTATTACTGATCATTTTCCAACATTCTATAGACTGTATTGGAAGAATTCCAACAGACTGGAGGGTAGCTAATGTAAATGCACTTTTTAAAACAGGAGGCAGAAAGAAAAGAGGAAATATAGGCTGGTTGGCCTGACATTGGTGGTGGGGAAAATGCTGGCGTCAGTCATTAAGGATGTAATAACTGAGCATTTGAAAAGCAGTGACAGAATCAGTCCTAGTCAGCATGGATTCACTAAAGGGAAATCAAGCTTGACAAATCTTCTGGAATTTTTTGAGGATGTGACCAGTAGAGTGGGCAAGGGTGAATCAGTAGATGTTGTATCTCGACTTTCAAAAGGCTTTTGTCAAGGTCCCACACAAGAGACTTCAAGGAAAATTAAAGCTAATGGTATTGGAATTAATGTATTGAGGTAGATCGAGAACTGGTTGGCAGACAGGAAGCAGAGAGTGGAATAAACGGGTTCTTTTCTGAGCGGCAGGCAGTGACGAGTGGGGTGCTGCAGGGTTCAGTGCTGGGACCCCAACTGTTCACAATATACATTAATGATTTGGACGAAGGAATTGAATGCCATATATATCAAATTTGCAGATGACACTAAGCTGGGTGGCAGTATGTGCTGTGAGGAGGATGCTAAGAGGCTGCATGGTGACTTGGACAGACTGGCCGAGTGGGCAAATACTTGGCAAATGCAACATAATGTGGATAAATGGCACTTCAGTGGCAAAAACAGGAAGGCAGATTATTATCTGTATGGTGGCAGTTTAGTAAAAGGTGAGGTGCAACGAGACCTGGATATCATGGTGGAGCGGCCACTGACGATTGGCATGCAGGTACAGCAGACAGTGAGGAAAGCTAATGGGATGCTGGCTTTCATAGCAAGAGGATTTGAATATAGAAGTTATACAGGGCCTTGTTGAGGCCATGCCTTGAGTATTGTATGCAGTTTTGGTCTCCTAGTCTGAGGAAGGACATTCTCGCTATTGAACAAGTCCAGCGAATGTTCACCAGTCTGATCCCCAGCATACAAGACTGACATATGAAGAAAGACTGGATTGACTGGGCTTGTACTCACTGGAATTTGGAAGACTGAGGGGGAATCTGATAGAAATATATAAAATCCTAATGGGACTGGACAAACCACATGTGGGAAGAACGTTCCCAATGTAGGGAAAGTCCAGAACTAGGGGTCACAGTCTAAGAATAGGGTAAGCGATTCAGGACTGAGATGAGGAAGAATTTCTTCACCCGGAGTTATGAACCTGTGGAATTCTCTACCACAGAAATTCTGGGGCCAATTTTTTTAGATATATTCAAGGGGGAGCTGGATGTGGCCCTTATGGCTAATGGGATCGGGGTATCAAGAGAAAGTGGGAATGGGATACTGAAGTTGTCTGATTAGCTATGATCGTATTGAATAGTGGTGCTGCTCAAAGGGCTGAATGGCCTGCTCCTGCACCTATTTTCTGTGTTTCAAATTACAGAAATGTGTGAGAGAAACAGGGTTATTGTTGCAGGGCGTTTCAACGTTACCAAAATTAATTGGGATCATTTTAGTGTGAAAGAATTAGACAGGGGTGGAATTTTGAAATTGCATCCAGGAGAGTTTTTTTTAATGCCAGTGTATAGATAGCCCTACTAGAGCTGGGGCAATGATAGACCTAATCTTAGGGAATTAAGCTAGTCAAGCGGTTGAAGATTCAGTGCGCGAGTTTTTTGCAGATAGTAAATGTAATTTTTTACTTTCTTTGTTCATTCATGGGATGAAGGCGTCGCTGATCAGGCAGCATTTATTGCCCATCCCTAATTGCCCAGAGGGTAGTTGAGAGTCAACCACATTGCTGTGGGTCTGGAATCACATGTAGGCCAGACCAGGTAAGCGTGGCAGTTTCCTTTCCTAAAGGATATTAGTGACCCAGATGGGTTTTTCTGACAATCGACAACGGATTCATGGTCATCATTAGACTCTTAATTCCAGATATTTTTATTGAATTCAACTTCTACTATCTGCCATGGCGGGATTCGAACCGGTGTCCCCAGAATGCTACTGGGTCTCTGGATTAACAGTCCAGTGATAATACTACTAGGCCATTGCCTCCCAGTGTCTATAAGTTTCAAAGGCATTGTGGAAAGTGATAAGGATAGTGCAGAAGTTAAGTGTCCAAACTGGGGGGAAAGTCAATTTTAATATCATTAGACAGGATCTGGCAAATATAGACTGGGCACAGCTACTTGCAGTTAAGACTACCTTTGGAAAGTGGGAGTCTTTCAAAAGTTGTACAGTGGGAATTTGGGGCTAGCACGTTCCTCTAATAGTGAAGGGCAAGGGCAGCAGGTGCAGGTAACCCTAGATATCAATGAATATTCAGACTTTGATAAAGAAAAAGATGGAAGTTTATGTCGGGTACAGACCAGGGGAGGTCTTTCTAACGTATAGAGAGTGTAGGGGGTTGCTTAGAAAAGAAATTAGGAGAGCAAAAAGGAGCCACAGCACATTTTTGGTGGATTTGGTCAAGGAAGTCAAGGCCAGTTGCAATATCATTAGACAGGATCTGCCAAACATAGATTGGGAGCGGCTATTTGCAGGTGAGTCTACATTTGGAATGTGGAAATCTTTTAAACGATTAGTGAAAATTCAGGGCCAGCATAGTCCTATAAGAGTGAAGGGCAAGACAGCAAGTCTTAGGGAACACTGGATGTCAAACGATTGCGAGAGTTTGATCTTTTTGTTTAAAAAAGGAAGCGTATGGCAGATAAGGCATGTAAACAGGGGAGGCCTTTCAAAAATAGAGAGAGTGCAGGAGGTTGCTTAAAGAAATTAGGAGGACAAAAAGGTACCATGAAATATCTTTGGCAGATAGGATCAAGGAAATCTTTCAGCATCTTATATATAAACAGTACGAGGATTACCAGGGAAAGAGAGGTACCTATTAGAGACCAAAGAAGTAACCTGTGCATGGAGGCAGAGGATGTGAGTGAGGTCTTCGATGAATATTTCTCATCTGTATTCAGAGGTTCAGAACCTGTTAAGATTAATCAGGAGGAGATATTAAATATTGTAGCCGGCATAAAGGTACATAAATCCCCAGGCTGCAATGGGAGGCAAGGGAGGAGATTTCTTGCTCCCTGGCAGATATGTTTAATATTTCAGTGGTCACAGGTGAAGTGCCAGTTGACCAGGGGATAGCTAATGTGGTTCCTTCGTTCAAGAAGGGCACCAGGGATAGGCCAGATAGTTACAGACCAGTTAGTCTGATGACAGTGGTACGGAAATTATTGGAAAAAATTCTAAAGGACAGGATTAATCAATACTTGGAAAGGTAG